CATAATGATGTGAAGGCCGGCCGCACAACCAGGATCGTATTGTTGTAGCCAGAGCTATAGATACAAGAACGGCCGTAATATCGAAATCGTGTGAAATACAGTTTTGTTATTTCTTGCTACGAAAGAGAATAGCACAGTTAACTTGATTCCGAAGAATGTGGGGCAGAATTTATGCAGCCTTTTTTTCCTAACCATTATTTATCCATAGCCGCTAACCATAACCATAACCATAACCACACAATAAAATTGTGTGGTTAGCACTGCGTACACGAGAGAGCCAGCTATGACTACAAACATATTTTATATTATCCTGCAATTGTTGCGCAAAAGTGTTACGGGCGTAATGAATCGAAAGCATGCAGAATATACCAGTGAAATTTGTGACACTTAAATACGTTCCCATCACTCACAATAGAATACATCTTGTGTGAGGCCGGCATCTTCACAATAACCGAAGAGTGGACAGTGTCTCGTATATGTTCATGACATAACTGGCTGAAACAGATGGGGCAGCGCCGGGTCCAAACTTTTCAGGCCTGGGCCGGGTATGGACCGTATTGAAAAAAAATCACCGGGCTGGGCTCGGGTGGGCCGGTGCATGAAGTTTTCGGACTGGGCTGGGCTCGGGCCGGAAAAATCGGCCCGTGCAGTGCTCGAACTTGTATCGCAATAATGTGTTGGCAATTTCCTTCTTCAGCAGCTGTCAGTGCAGAATTCCTCACGCATCACTGGTATAACACTCAATACCTAGGGTTAAAACAGCGCGCAGTCGTTGTCTTTCGTATGCACATGACTTCCGCATTTATGCTTACAGTAGTGTCAAACCAGCTCATCCTAAAGTTTGTACTACTAGGTGTTATATTGTTACACGGCATATTCAGCCAAGTGCCATTAAAGTAAACGACCGGTGAAAATAGTCTGCTGCAAGGACAGGGCCCAAAGGGTAGCGGCGCTCGTTGCTCTTCATGGAAGTCGCGGGGTTGAGCAAAATTTTACCCAAGCCTTGGCTGCATCCCGCTCCTTCGTGCTCAGCGTTCGAAAATGTAAAGTGGGAGATCGATTAACAGGATGTTCTTTGACGAATTTATGCCAATCATCGCAACTAGAGCCCAATCCTAGGTCTTCAAATCGGAAGATGCGCCACTTCTGATAAGGCGTGCAATAGTTTGATGATTCTGCTACTAGAAAAAAATACCATGTTGATTTTACTTGTGATGAAAACCATGAGGTTGCTAGAACATGTATTACCTGAAATCACGGCAATGGTAAAAGAGAGGCGATATAGAAGACGGTGACGAAATAGCTGAAGTATGCGGGGCATTCGTTCGCCTTGTTCATTTGCTTTGAAGAACTTTAAAAAGCGTTTTATTCAATATAACAGTGCCAACTAACGTGGCTATCGTGAATTGTACGCATAAACAACATACGAAAACAGGCTAAACGACTTTTAGCACACTCCGTTCGTTTCTAGCAACATGATCTAGATCATTTCATAACTCCTGAAACGCTTAATGGTGTAAACAAAAGAATTACTTCGCGACTACGCACACGGTACAACGAACAGTGGTTTGCTGGACATGCCTGTTAACTCAGTTCAAAGTTCAATGTTTCCATTTTATAAAGGGAGCTGGTTGGTCGACTTTTTATGGCTAACACTTTCAAGTGTTTCTCAAGTTCAAAACTATTGGACCTGGCCTCCTATATGAGTACCAGCTTACGCGTCATTTTAAACATGGAAAGACTAAAGGCTGGTGGACACCGGCGACTAGGAGCGGTCGCGCGACCATTCGCGACTGGCGACCAAAAAGCGACTGATGTTCACACCGGCAGGGGCTGCATGCGAGCGACCAGAAGTCGCAAAATCGGAGAGTCACGTCCAGATCTCGTTATCAGCGAGAACTCTGAAGACCGGCACCGATCAGCTGATCGCCACCAGCTGAGTGAGCAGAGCAAACCGAGCGCGCCGCATTTATAGTTTTCGTCCATTCTCGCTCAGCGTTCTCAAGAGCGTCAAGGAGTTCGATTCAAGCGACGAACAAGAGATTGTCATGGTGCTGGTGCGCTGTGCCATGGTGTCAGCGTTTGCATCACAGATGCCTCCAAAGGAAAAAAGCTGGTGGTGGGTGTGACCGTCCTTTCGATCGCGAGAGTTGGCCGGCCATGCAAGCCGCCTGCCTACCTTCCGAGCTGCGCTTAGACGACGAGGAGAATTTCCGAGAGTCGTACGTATTCAGAAACGTTCTTGAATTTATCTTGACTTGCCACGGCCGACAATGCAACACAAACGCGTCTCGAATGCGGTGTCTTTAGTCGGTGCCAAGGCATGATGCACAAACGCGTTCCAAAAGCGCTGCATTCAAGGCAGTGACAAGTCAAGTTCAAGAGAAAAACAATTCTGAATATGAGGGAAAGATAGTGCATATTTCATTGTCTCTTCATTTTGACGGTGTTTAGCTTCTTGCAAATGTCGCCATGTAAATTCCACACTTTGCTCGAGAAGCTGCGCCCCACCATCTCCAAGCCAAGTACTCCGTGATGGACATAGTGCCACAGACCCAGAGGAACGCACTCACTTGTATTTGGTGGCAGGAGGCCAGCGCAATGAGAAAACAAAAAAAGTCACTGCATTTCAAGCTGCTTGAAGAAAATTATAGGGCGAAGCTTTCGGAGGTGATTATGGTGATTAAAGTTGAGATAGTACTGAGACTGATTGGGGTTGTGATACTTATATAGTTTTTATTCAAAGAGATAGTGCTGAAACCGATTGTGATATAGCGGTGACTCTTCTTTATAGCTGATATGAGGTTCCGAGTTGCGGGTTACGTTTTGACTTCATAATCACAGCTTCATTAGCTATCGTCTCTCGTCTCTGGTGTAGAATTTTCTTGTTGGTATTGCTGTCTTGCATCCGCTTCAAGTTGTCTCAACTGCGCGTCATCTTGGCGTTTTCCCGCTTAGCCTTTGCTTCCTTATCCCTAGTCTGTGGTGTAGAACTTTGTTATCGCCGTCACCGCTTTGCATCCGTTTTCTTCTCTTTTGTCTCCGTGGTAGCTTCCCGTCGACGGCGACGCTGATACTCAGCACGTTGCGCTTTACTGCGTTCGTTCGTCTTCGTCTATATGAGAGAAGAGAATGTGTGGTATGGAACGTGGTTATATATATATATATATATATATATATATATATATATATATATATGTATGTATAGCGTTGACAGCAGCGCCATCGCATCCACAATTAACCACAGCACCCTCTGTTGCTTGTAAGTTGAAGGTTACGTGGAAAATTGTTCAGAAATGTCAGACAGATGAAGACGTGTTACGGACAGACGGGAGACGGCGGACATCGTGGGGTCTTAAGAAGCCTCGCCCCTAAAAAAACAAAAACTGAACATCGCTGATTGGTTCCAGCAGCTTTGCGACTGCAGTCGCGCGACTAGAAAATTGGTTAGGAAGCGACTAGCCAAAGCAGTCGCTTGGCGACCGTTTGCGACCATTCGCGACTGTTTGCGACCAGTCGCAAGTGGTCGCGCGACCACTGCTAGTCGCCGGTGTGCACCAGCCTTAAGGGTATGTATAAGGAACATCGCGAACTTGTCAACCAACCAATCATATCGCTTGAACACACCGAATACTTGGCTGTTCCACAACTATGCATAAACTATTATAGTATTCAAACACTTTCCTAATGTTTTGCCTCAACACCATACAATTATAAGTTATTCCATCAAAGCATACGTCATTTTTTCGAAAAACGCAATAATAAATCTGATGTTATTAATTTTGAATTTGCTTCTGTATAGTTTGAAAAGGTGTTTATTGTTTATCTTTATCGGTTTTTCTTTATGTGTTTTAATCTTAATATTGCAACAAGTGAAAGTTATTGTCATAATGCTGCTCTAATTGTACAGGGAGGGGGGAGCAGTGAACTGCCTATACGCAGCTTTTATCCCAGAATCTTCGCTGTTTCTGTATGTTTTGTAACTAAGTGAAAATAAATTTGAATTTTAACTGAAAGATAACGTGTGCAGTAAGGTTTCTAGCCATTGAAAAGTAATAATGAAATAATTTTAATAAAACAAGTTAAGACACAAGTCAAAACAGATTTATTTTTCTTGCGAATGATCTCCGCGTAGACAGGTATCAAATCTGCAGAAAAAGACTTCATATCGAAGTATAAATATTTCAGCGCCGAAATTCACTGCATCGAGAAGCCTAGTAGCAAAAGTACAGCATACACCCGATCACTATATGCTTTCTTTTTAGGCGACATCAACCAGCGTGATGTTCTACGGAGTTTGCACTGACAGGATCAAAATTGCATCCAAGAAGGAACTTGTGTTTTTTTTTTCTTTTAGTATTTTTCTTATTAGCTTTTTACAATAAGTTTATTTGCACTTTTTCATCTTTTTTATTGTCTACATGATAGGAGTTCACCTGTTTATTCAGATAGCTGGTTTTATTGTACGCAAAAAACTTTTTGCTGGTTGCTGATTTTCATTTCTGCGTTGATTTTTAATTCCATTTTTGCTTTTTTGATCAACACAGGTATTTTTCCCTTAGGGCTTTCCTCACAATCTGCGCCGATTTTCGAAGGTCAGGAATCCTGCAAACCCGCTATTTTAGCCGCTTTTATTTGATGCCATTGAGTCTCTTTGCCACTTCGTTTTAATTGGGTTTTAGTGTAACTAGTAGTATTACATATTAAGATTGCATAGTTATACTTTTATATACCGTTTTGTAAAAAGTGTTCATTAGAGTGAAATTGAAACTGGAATATTCGCGGTGCTGACTTCTGCCAAACAAGTGTAGTGGAATGCAGTTCAGAAGTTTGAGAGAGTTTGTGGCGAACGAGAGCCGACGTACTACAACAGCAGAATGAACACAAGCACTGTAGTGGGCGCGTCAAACGGTGTCGTGCATGAGCGCGCGGCGGAGGAAGGCGTCCGTCGGACGTTCCAGCCATTGAGTGACGTGCGTTGTCTTTGCTTCTATTTGCAGCGAGCAGTGACCCCGTGCCGGAAGCCAGAGATGAGCGAGTGAGAAACCCAGCTGCGCAATGCTAGCCCTCGGAGAAGCGAACGGCTCGTGGGACAGCCAGGCATACAGCCTGGTGGACATATACAATGGCGCCAACACGTCATCCGTGGAGCTGGAGATCCTGAGCAACGGGACGGTGCTGGACATCGTGCGCGACGCGAACCTCTCACTGCTGGAGGAGAGCAACGCGACTTCAGCGACCGCAGAGTCGGCCCACGTTCAGCACGCAGCCCTTGGAGTGCTCCTGGGTTTCTTCTGTATCGCGACTGTGTTCGGTAACGTGCTTATCATGGTCTCCGTGGCCAAGGAGCAGTACCTGCACACCGTGACTAACTACTTTATTGCGTCATTAGCGACGGCGGACTGTCTGGTGGGCGCCGTGGTCATGCCGTTTTCGGCCATCCACGAAATTATGAACAAGTATTGGATATTCGGCCAGGACTTATGTGACGTCTGGCACTCCATCGATGTCCTGGCCAGCACTGCGTCCATCCTGAACCTGTGCGTCATATCGCTGGATCGCTATTGGGCCATCACCGATCCCATCAGCTACCCGTGCCGTATGACGCAGGCCAGGGCGACCACCCTGATCGCCGTCGTATGGGTCTGCTCCGCGCTCATCTCGTTTCCGGCCATCGCCTGGTGGCGGGCTGTGACCAAGCTGCCGCCTGCCGCTTTCCAGTGCGCGTTCACCGATGATGTGGGCTACTTGGTCTTCTCGTCGACCATATCCTTCTACGCACCACTTATGGTCATGGTGTTCACTTACTACCGCATTTACAAAGCCGCCGCCGAACAGACACGGAATCTCAAGCTCGGCTGCAAGCAGGTCCAGTCCTGCAATGGCGAAGAGTCGACCTCTGTGACTCTCAGAATCCACCGCGGAGGCATGCTCCAGACGGCCAATAACTACAAGGCAGTTTTTGCGACATCGAACGAAACCTTCGACCGAAACAACGCGAGCGGCACATCAAGAAATGTCAAGAACTTCTCGCTCAGCCGAAAGCTCGCTAAGCTCGCTAAAGAGCGCAAGGCTGCCAAGACGCTCGCCATCGTCATGGGAGTTTTCATTCTGTGTTGGCTGCCGTTTTTCGTCACTAATATCCTGATGGGTATTTGCGGTGAGGCGTGCGTAACGCAACCGGACCTCGTGTTCTCCACGGTCACCTGGCTCGGCTGGATCAATTCGGGCATGAATCCAGTCATCTACGCATGCTGGAGCAGAGACTTTCGACGAGCTTTTGCAAATGTACTCTGCTGTTGCTGCCCTGGCTACTTTCGAAAGAGACAGCGTCGCCGCGACCGGCTTCGACGAATGATCAAGGAGGACGCCAGTCTGCGCTCGCACAGCATCGAGGAGGCTGTCCTATAGCGGCCGTCTTGGGACGTTGCCTAGCCGCTTGTCGCTTGCCTTGCATAGCTGGCAGCGCAGCCGACTGCTGAAGAAGCTGTTCTGATCGCGGTACGGGCCATTTTGCGTTACATCTCAAATTCTTGAGTTCGTCTGGCTGATCAGCTAAGTTCGCGTACCGCAACAGCTTGATTTGAATTAGCTTATCTCTCACTTCGAGTAACCGAGCAGGACTATATGAACTTGTTGCAGCTCTGTCATTTCGGCTAAGTGCATTGGTGCCCATTAAGCCAAGAAGTTTATGCAGTTGAAAATTATTAGTTTCTTAACCAGCACGACTTCTTTACACACGCGCAAATCGAGGATAACAAACCTCTAGGAAACTCAGTAGCCCTAGAACACCATTTTCGGACCATGCAAAACTGAAAGTGCAAACATATTGCAGAGAAACATTAATCCGTATGGACAACAAAATGTGTTAGGAGCAACAAGGTGGGGAGCACTAAGTGGCACACGTATAAATTGGGTAGAATCTAGTTGCTTAATCGATGACAGTATAAGCAACACTACGCTAGCTGTAACATCTTCTGTCGTCGATGACAACTTCGTATGACTTCAGCACCTGCGTAGGAATCCCTCCTGTGAGGTTCCGCTAGGTGTAACATATCTTGAATATGATAAGCCATGCATGCATGCTAGGTAGGCAGTAACGTCGCGCGAACTTTTTGGCACTCGGACATTTCTTTGTAATACCACTGCCGAGGCTTTTCGAGAGTCATTTTTATGCCAGAAACATACCCAATATATTACGTGATGTCCAGACACATTGGTACAAAGTTAATATTTATCTGTCAATTACATGCAAAAAAACAACAGTGAAATGCTCAGCTAATAAAAAAGTATCCTCAATTATGTGGTTTCGCACTCCTGATGCACGCTTTGTTTCATAAAATAATCTGCAGGTTGCACAAAGCAAACCAAGAAAAAAATGTGTGTTGATCTTGAGGAGAAATGAAGAGAAACGGGAATTGTCACAAAGCCAGAGAATGCTTTGTTGCATCTTGCTCTTGTATGCTGCATTTTCCCTCCCATATTCATGAGACTATCAATAGCAGCGTACACACTATCGAGTTGTTCAGCCATGGTGCGCACTTTTGTAAGCGCAGTGAACCGAGCTCACGTTTATCTCTGCATCAGTGAGAATCTGATGCAGCAACTACCTTACGAGACATCACGTAAGTAACGAGCTCAATCAAGTATATTTTTGTGATGTGATGTTTATTATAGCACTTGTTGTAGCTCCTGTGTGTAACGTGGATTCATCGCACACTTTCTTGTCATCAAGCCCGTAAAAAGGCGAAATAATCCATCCTTACATAAGTGTGTACTTAAGAAGAAGCTGGCGTCCTGACACGACACCAGCTGCTTCTTTCCTATGCCAGTTTCAAGAAATGACAATTGTCCATTTGACTCATATCAGGCTGCTGATATGCATTGCGCACAAGTAGTTATTTTTCCGCATCAGTGAGTTTACATTACCTTTGGACAGACCGTTGCTGTGTCGATAGTCCATTGTGTAACATACAAGAGTATATATGCTGCGTGTGTTATGTTACCGTATATGCTGGTGTCAACTTTTTTGTGTGCATACTAAAAACTTATCTATCGTTGAACGCTTGTACATAGCTATAAGTATGAACGTCGTGGTGTATTGAAATTTATTAACTCTTCTTTGTCAGGACACAAATGTCACTGCACATTTGAGGATTGTGAATGAAGTCGACTGAAAAGAGAAGGGCCAGGCTGTCATTGTTTCCAAAGCCTTGTGCCATGATCTCCCACATTACGTCTCACGTTTTGAGTGGTTTACAAGCTCAAAAAGAGCAATTCTTTGTTATTTGTGAATTTAACGTGGATTAACAACTCTAGCATTTAGACTATTGCTGTTAAACGTTACTATGTATTTCATACTTCACGGCGTTGTTGTTATTCAAGTCCGCGTGCACAAAGAACGTCTGTTGTGTTTATTTCCCTCAGTCGTTGCTCGACATCTGGTGAAGGCGTCTAGTTGTAGTGTTTTTGCTTCTAGTCTTACCACGTCTATGTTAATTCATTTGTTACTGATGTGAAAATTCAGCATAATCTGTGTGTTAGCGCATCTTTGATGCTGATTTTGATACTGTGTTTTATGTTGTCTACTGCGAGCATTCAATCAATCGATTTTTGTTATGTTCATTGTATATTACATTTCCGTAAGCATGGGAACAGTATTTTATGTTTGGATGGTGCCAAAACTGATTTAAATGCTGTCATGCTATTCATTGCGCATCATGGCATGTTAAATCATCTAACTTATTTTATTTTTACTTTGCACTTCTTTGAACACCACTGTTCTTTGTACCCCAATATCTATTCTCAATATTGAAACTGTCATGCTTGCCTGTTCGTATCAGTGAACCGACATTGTAACAAAAGGCAGTGTCATACGCTGTCAAGTTTCTCTGTAACCCAACCTGTCGTGCAGTGTATGTCGTGAAGGTCCAGCGTATTTCTTCAGCTTAATCTGCATATAACTTTGAGGACTAAGGTGAGACCAACATTAATAGATACTTTCAGTTGTCAAACTGCCACGGCGCTTAACCCCTTTTTGTCGCGCCCACAGAGCGGCGCGCCCAGCGCTCTCATCCCGAGGGCGAGTGATGTGAGCAACCATGGAGAAACAAAAAGAAAGGAGGGAGCATTACGTCACGCAGCCAGCCTTGGCAAGCCAATCCGTTTTGAAGCCAGCCGTGTGAGCCCAACACGTTACCTTTTGTGGTGAGATCACGCAAGCAACGAGGCTTGCTGAGACTTAGAGAGAGTGGCACTCAGTAACTTTTATACAGCACGAGCTGGTTCGGCGCAGACCGGCCGGCTCACGATGGATGTTCAAAAAGGAAACACCACCGAAAGCACTAAAACCTATCGCACGCTCTGACGTTTAGGTCAGGCGTTTGGCCGACACAGGGGGGGGGGGGGGGGGCTTCAATTAGCTTCACTTGTGTGACGTAATGCTCCCTCCTTTCATTTTCTTCCTTCATGCGAGCAACGCTGGTAGAGGCAACGGGCACAGGCGCCGAAGCACGCGCCTTTTTTTGTTGTTGTTGTTGCTCGTGTTGGTTATCTATGCACCAAGGTTTCCGCGTGCCTTGTGAGAAAATTCACCATCTAGCTCTAAACAGGACATGAGGCAATGCGATGGGGTGAGGGGGGTGGTTCGCACCGCGTTTGCACTGGTTTGACTAGGTGCTTCTCTTAAGGATTTCATTATTGTTGCAAATTTAGTGTGATCGTCATATTTAGTGTTATTTAGTAGCTTCGCCACCGTCTAAGCTCGAGCGTTGAAATTGTCTAGCGAGGCGTTCTGCACGGGCGTTGGAGTCGCGTCAGCTCGACGCTGACGCTTGGCTTCAACGTCGGTGTTTCGTACGGCGGGGTTTGCTTGCCGACGCTGCCGGTGCGTTTCGCCATGTCGAACCCGCATTTCATCTGCAGCAGTTTACCGCCGATGTATATGTTTGCGCTGGGCTTCCCTAGACCTGAGCTCGAGCGCGCTTCCCGACGTTTTTAGCGCTTCAGCGTGTCGAGCCTTCCGCTGCTCCATCCACTTCTCTGCGATCTTACCGAGCATCTAATGCTTAGAAAATGTAAGTGGGAGAGGCCACAGTCTTTTACACAGCCACTTTCGCAGGGCCCAACGTGCCAGCGCGTGCTAGCACGTCGTGAGTAGGATAGAACGCCATCACATGTTCGCATGCGCAGTAAGGATGGTCTCGGCGCACACCAGATTGAACCCCGCTCTAAGATGCTTTGCATCTAATATGCCTCGGCGTCATTAATTGTAATCAGCTGCAGGAGTCACTACGACAAAGTACAATCTTCGAGTGAGAAGAGGAATATCTTCAGGCCACCGAAGACTACTTGACGTCTTCGCGAATGGCAGCGCACCATTGCGAGGCAGAACAAGGAACTTACTAGCTATTGCGTCATGTGGGACCTGCACGTCCAGCCAGAAGACCTCGTTAAATATTTGATCCAAAACGTATGGTGAAGTAGTATGCCATTTGATAACTTGACGCTAAAAGAAAACGCTGTACCATGTCTCTTTCTCGATCGCCCGAAACCATCATCGTCATCATCATCCTGACTACGTACGCTGCAAGACAAAGGCCTCCCTCATGTTCGGCCAATCAACTCGGTCCTGTACTCGCTGCTGCCACTTTACACCAGCAAACATCTTAATCTCATCTACCCACCTAACTTTCTGTCTCCCCCTAACCAGCTTGCCTTCTCTAATCCACTCAGTTACCCTTAATGACCAGTGGTTATCCTGCCAACACGCTACATGCCTGGCGCATATCCATTTCCTCTTCATGATTTTGACTATGATGTCCTTAACTGCGGTTTGTTGTCTGATCCATTCTGTTGTCTTCTTGTCTTTTAAGGTTATACCTATCATTTTTCTTTCCGTCGCTTGCTGCGTCGTCCTCAATTTAAGCTGGACCCTCTTTGTAAGTCTCCAGGCTTCTGCTCCGTAGGTGGGTACCGGCAAGATGCAGCTGTTATATACCTTCACCTTGAGGGTTTGTGGCAATCTACCAGCAATGATTTGAGAGTGCTTGCCTAATGTGCTCCGCCCCATTCTTATTCTTCTAGTTACTTCAATCTCGGGGTTCGGCTCCGCGGTTATTACCTGTCCTAAGTAGACGTAGTCTCTTACAACCCCAAGTGCACTATTACTGATCTCGAAGCGCTGTTCTCTTTCGAGGTTGGAGTGCATTAATTTCGTTTTCTGCAGATTAATTTTAAGACCTACCTTTCTGCTCTCCCTGTCTAACTCAGTAATCATAAGTTGTCATTTGTCCCTTGAGATACTCAGCAATGCAAATCATCGGTGAAACGCAGGTTACTAAGGTACTCTCCATCAACTCTTATTCCTAACTCTTTCCATTCTAGGCCTCTGAAAAGTTCCTCTAAACACGCAGTAAATCGAATTGAGGAGATTGTGTCCCCCTGTCTTACACCTTTCTTGATTGATATTTTGTTGCTTTCTTTATGGAGCACTATGGTGGCAGCTGATCCTCTGTAGAGTTCTTCCAGGATCTTTATATATGCTTCGTTGACGCCCTGACTCCGCAGTGTCTGCATGACCGCTGAAATTTCTACTGAATCAAACGCCTTCTCGTAATCTTTGAAGGCTATGTATGATGGTTGGCTGTATTCTGAGCATTTCTCTATTACCTTATTGATAGTATGAAGGTGGTTGATTGTTGGGTAGCCTATTTGAAATCCTGCTTGTTCCTTTGGTTGATTTAATTCTAATGTTGCCTTCATTCTCTTAGCAATTACCTTTGTAGATAGCTTTTATACGACAGAGAGCAATCTGATAAGCCTGTAGTTCTTCGAGTCCTTGTCATCTTCTTTCTTGTGTATTAAGATGATGTTTGCATTCTTCGAAGATTGTGGTACACTTCCCGTCAGGAGACACTTCGTAAACCGGGTGGCTAGTTTTTTAAAACAATCTCTCCTCCGTCTTTCAGCTGGTCTGATGTTACCTGATCCTCACGAGCAGCTTTGTGTCTTTGCATTCCTTCCAAGGCTTTCATGTCCTCTTCAAGCATTACTGGTGGGATGTTATGTGGCGTACTGTTAAGTAATTATTAAGGTTTTGGTTGTCCCGGCTACTGTACAGATCTCTGCAAAACTCCTCCGCTATTTTCACTAGCCTATTCATATTGGTAGTTGCTTTGCATTCCTTGTCCCTTAGTGCATACATCATCGTTTGCCTATCCCAAGTTTTTTTTTCACTGTTCTGACGCTTCCTCCGTTCATCAGAGCGTGTTCAATTCCCTCAATGCTATGCCTTCTTACATTGGATACCTTAAGCTTATTATTCAACTTCGAAAGCTCTGCCAATTCTAATTTGTCTGTTGTGGTAGTTGAGGCTTTTATGCTTTGACGCTTCTTAGTGAGGTTCTTTGTCTCCGGGGACAGCTTCCCAGTGTCCTGTCTAACTACCGTACCTCCAACGTCTACTGCACAATCCATAATAATACTCGTCAGATTATCATTCATTGCGTCATCGCTAAAGCTGATTTCCTCGATAAGAGCCCAGTATATGTTCTGACGCGAGACTCCCTGTACTTTCCTTCTCAGTGCACGCTCGTTGATTGGCTTCTTGCGTATCAGTTTCTGTGGTTTCTTCTTCAAGTCTTGGTGAATTCGAGACCTTGCCATTCTATGATCACTGCATGGTACCTTCCTGAGCAATTACACATGCTGCATGATGCCTGAGTGTGCACTCAGTATAAAGTCTATTTCTTTCTTACGTTCCCCATTAGGGCGCCTCCATGTTCATTTACGGTTCCCTCGTATTCGGTAGAAGGTATTCAAGATCCGTAAGGTATTGCGTTGTGCGAGTTTTACTAATAACTCCACTCTGACAATTCTAGTACCAATACCTAAATCTCCCACTGCCTGGTCTCCCGCCTGCTTCTTCCCTACCTTAGCATTGAAGTCACCCATCAGTATAGTATACTATGTTTATACCCTACTCATTGCCGATTCCACGTCTTCGTAGAAGCTTTAAACTAACGCGCCATCAAGGCTGGATGCAGGCGTGTAAATCTGTACCGCCTTCATTTTGTATCTTCTATTGAGTTTATTTTGATACCTAACACCCTTTCATTAATGCTATAGTATTCCTCTATGCTACCAGCTATATTTTTGTGGATCAGGAACCCCACGCTGAGCTCTGTTCTGTCACCCGACATATTTCTCATCAAAGCCCTCAATGGAGCGCAAGCTTCCCAGTGTGTGGCCAGCTCTTCATGTTAAGCGCCGCAAGCAACAAAATGGAAGTGGAATGAAAACGCAGGCCCAATTATTCGGGGCATGGCGAATGCATGTGCTCCACAGACGACATGGTTCCCATAGAAAGCCCTCCATTGCTCTACGACCATAGCTATAGCAAGTGAAAGTACGCAAGGCAGAAACAAAGAGTGCGAAGACATATTCTGGTAGGTTTTAGATTATCTAGAGGGGCGCTGACTCTTCTTGGCTGCACAAACATATATGTTCGCAATCACGTGCGAAGTGTTGAATTTTTTATTTTTATGCGATGAATTTTAGGTCAAGATACGAGTTGTGTACAAGAAAACAGTCACAAGGCAGCAGTACGAACGAGAAAGTGCGTCTGTTGTGAATATTGTCAAGCGCATTTTTGTATTTTTATGTAACCGGCCCGTTATACACATACCTTAAACAATATACCTCGCACCAAGAGCCTCGCTGTCCTATTCATTCACCTATTAGCTGTTTTTACAAAGTGCTCAAAGTAAACAGACTATTCCTTCAATACTTGGTGCTAAGGAGAGCAGCGCAACGTAAGAAAATGAGCTAAAGACAAGCGACATTCGGTCGGTGGCGCGCTGTTGTTTTGCAAAGCTTTCTTGGCCAACCGGGCCGATCGCGGCCGCAGCGCCACCTCCCGAGAGGAGATGACAGAGGGCCACATTTTGTGGCGCTCCCAGGTGCAGTTTGACAATTGACAGGATCTAGTAACGTTGGGTCAGACCACATTTAT